GTGTGTGTGTGTGTGTGTGTGTGTGTGTGTGTGTGTGTGTGTGTGTACCTTGGAGAGGATGAAGCGGTCGCTGTTGGGGTTTCGGGGGTCTTCAGGTCGGTATTTCATGGTATGAAAGAACAGCACAGACATGATCTCTGATACGCTGCAACATGATGTGGGATGACTGCAAAAAAAAAGGAATATGGCAAGAAAGGAATTAGATCAAAAAATGAAAAACTTGATGTGCCCCCTGCTTCCACTGTTGTACTCCAAAAGCATTTTGAGGGAAAACTTTGCACACACATATGCAGAAAAAGGGATTAAAACTAGAAGTCAAGCTGGACACTTTGTCAACGTGGATCTAGAGTTATGTAAGACAGACAGTATGCTAGTGAGACTGACTTTATCAAGGTCAGACAGGCAGTATGTAAATATACAGTGTTCTCGCTGTCTAACACACACAAGAAGTGTACATACATTTGGAGGAAGCCCCCCTCTCTTATACATGCACACATACATATACAGACATAATTCAAACTGTAGTACCACACAGTAATGCCAAGACCTTTTAACATGTGGTTATGATGTTTTATTTGTCAAATGTTGTTATTCTGTTTATTTTCAAACCACATGCCTATAATACCTCACTCAGGCCTGTTCCATGAAGGGCATTTTCCTTACTTTGCTGAAAGGGAAAAGGTGAAAAAAAAAATAAAAAAAATGAATAAAAGCATAAAAATCCTAAAGGACATGATAAATAGATTTCATGTTTGATGACAGGATATTAGGTGAGCGATGCAACGTGACCACTGGCTGTGATAAAAGAACGGAATAAATGAAACATGAATGTAAGCCAAAAATGTAAGCTACATAAGCATGTTTCAGTGATCAAACTGGAATTGCATTATTGAACATCTTATGATTAACTTTGAATCAGCTATTTAAGGTTTAGTCTACTCATTGAGAGTCTCTGAATTGATTTAAAGAAAAGTAGTGCTCAGTCAAAAATCATCAATAACTACAGAAAACACGAATAAGAGAAGCAAAACGAGGGCAATAAACACAGTTACTGCAGGTCAAATATCTCCAATGCAACTAATAAATACAAAATAATTATACCGTGTAGCATTCGACACGTGGGATATTCAGCATTGGAATAAAAATAAAAAGCACACACAGGAACATTTCCACTGTCTTACATTTTATTATTGAAACTGTTATTTTCTTTTACTTGCAATTTTATTTTGAAATGTCTCATCGGACATATGTAAATATAGCTAATTGACGTTGGTGGGACGACCCGCATCGGCGCGGAGAGGCAGCAGCGCGCGCTCCCCGGACCCATTCCGCTGCCTGCCCGAGAGCATGTACCGCTCGAGCCCCTGCCCCTCCTCTAAACGACCAGCGTACGCAAAGAGTTAAGGGTGAGCGGAACACTGTGCACCTGCAGCAATGTATGCCGAACCTCCAAATCCAACCCTATGTTTAAAATATTGCACGGTATCGAAGGGGCTTTTATACAAAAATAAAAAAGTCAGTTTAATTTAATTTCATGAGTATCATATCCCTCAGAAATGTAACACGATCGTAAATCATGCAAATTAGATTAACCTTGCAAGCCTACTTTCTTGACAAGTGCGTAAATTACGCACAATGCATTTTGGCACACAACTGTTTTACTTACAATAAAATTAGAACATTTAGTGAATTTTTCTACGTCACACTGAACGCAAATATTCTCACGTGCAGCTTTATTCTGCTGATCCTCCTGCACGCAGTCTGATGGGGACAGTGAGTCGGTCCATCAGGACAAAACGAAAACTGGCTTTGTTGTACATTCGAGCCTGCGTTTATAATAATTCAAGTGCATTAATCATATATTAACTGTCCCGGGGCAATAACCTTGTTTTGTTTTGTTTTGCAATACCATATATGTTCAGTCTTATTTAATTCCTCCGTATTCCCCCTCTTACCCGCTGCCAGCTGCAGTTGTCGCTTTGATGGAGTTGATCCGGAGCCGGGTCGCGATGTTCCGGAGCGCCTGCACCGTCTGCTGGTCTGGTTTATGGTAGTCCTCCATCTGGCCGATGCAACGCAGAAAGCACACACGTACACACAAATTGAGTTAAAGAGTTAAAAGTTCCCGGTCTGTTGTCACGAGTACAGAGGCGATGGGTGTGCAGCGGACAGTGGCATGGGTTAAAAGAGGCAGTGGTTTTGAACCTGACAGACAGGGAGCAGGAGGGGGCGTGTCCGCAAGCAAAGCCTATGAATATGGCTAATCTGGGGCTAAAAGCAGCACACGGTTACTCAAACTGGCACGTATGAGCACATTGAACAGTGGGGGGCTTTGGCTGAGCCTGAGACCAAGGCCACACGCACACTCTCACGAGCAGGTGCACGCTCACACAGTCAGGGACGCTCAGGTTCAACATCTACAGCTCCATATTGTATCTGATGATGACACAGTGAAGAAGACATAGGCAGAAGAGTGAAAATAAACGAGTAAAATATCAAGGAAAGCACTAAGGTTGCAATGAGTTACACATTTCAAGATGAACAAAGAGCTGGTATAATGAAATTATATAGTTCAAAATGTAGTAATAATGATGTAATTTATCTGTATTTTAGTTTATCTTTATATTCAGTCACTATCATAGTCACACATACAATGGTGATGGAAGTCACAAACTTCCATCACCATTGAACAATTAATAATGTCTTTCAAATAAATATGAGGATTTTCCAAATAGGTTCCGGAAATCAGCTGGAATGCGGTGTTATTGACATTAATAAAAGTTGGAAGGGCAAACATAGACACATATCAGATACAACCAGGGCCGGCCCTAGACTTTTGGGGGCCCTAAGCGAGCTTTGGCTTGGGGGCCCTCCTCACTCTAGCGCGTTCTCACTACACACAACACGGAACCAACTTTTGTCTTATGATGTTAGTATAAGCACACATATTGTATAAATAAGCATGTAAACACAGTGGACCTAACCTCCTCTAAGGGGGTCCTCACCTCTTCTAGGGGGATCCGGGGGCATGCTCCCCCGGGAAGATTTTTTTTTAAATATTGAAGTTAAAAGCATCAATCTGGTCCACTTTGAGACCAAAATTAAGAGATCTATGGATACATCTCTCAACACCCATATGAAACAGAACTGTAAACAGATTTTTCTTTATGGATATTTTACAAATCACTCCCCTTTTAAACTGTATTCTTGTTTTGTCATATAGTATTTCATAACTGTTTTTCATTTATTCTCTCTGGCTGTCCATCTCATAATGTTCACATAAAAACTAGCTGTCAATAGGAATATCATTCAGAAGAATTATAATTTCATGCAAAAATTTGTCACAAAAAGAGGTTGCACATTCACATTCAGGTGTTGTTATGGCAACGTAAGCGGCCAAACAGCCACATTCACTGCTGCAAATACGTTCAAACATGCTGTCGATACGTAAAGCACTGGCAACTATGCCACCATTTCAGCTGACTTTTTCTCAGAAATACTGTCACATAACATCCATATATTTCAGTGCTAGGTTGATGCTTAGCTAAGCTAACTATGAAACACTTTAAATGACAGGACTCAGGATCAACTGTGTACTGTAAGGTAGCTTCTAGCTTCATGTCGAACAGTAAGTCAACATTTTCCAGAGAGCTTTCTTTGAAATCACCAGGTAACGCTAAAAAACATTACATTTAGATTGTATGACAAAGTGTTTATTCAATATATCTGGCTAGCTATAGCTACTTGCTAACGGTTTAGCTTACCCCCGCGATTCAAAGTAACTTCAACGTAGCTGTAATTTATGCTTTGCTTACATGTTCGCATATCTTGGAAGTTTACTGACATTTACATACCATTTACCTGGCTCAAGTGGTGGCTCTGGGATTGTTGTGTGAGCCACCACTTGAGAATTGTCGTCTTTTTTAGGAAAATATGTTCTTATGTCCATCTTCAAAAACTCTGAGTCCGACTGACAGTTTAAACATTGTCACAGCTCACAGGATAGGTACTGTACCTGTCAGCCAATAAGACAGATGTTTATTTCCATTCAACTCTCTGGTAGGTCTAGTGTCTTGTCTCTGTTGCATTCACTGAACACGGGAAATTACAATTCTACCGTCCTCTCTAGTGTCATGACGAGGTTCAGGTAAAGCATGGTGGATGTTATATGATTGACTCAATTATATAATACATGACTTTGAGAGTAGGCAATCTAGGCATATTAACAAAATGAATTAAACATACTTATCACAGCGACGGTGTACGGGGATTTTTGTTGTTGTTGCTAGGGGGCCCATTAGTGGCTGCGGGGCCCATGTTGTTTAATGGGTCGGGCCGGCTCTGGATACAACTAAGTGTGATACAATCCCTTTAAACAATTAAGTGTACCTGCCCTGTGACGCTACAACATTTACGTGATAGAGGAAGGAAGGATGACGTGCAACAGGAAGGATCGCAAATCTGACCTTAATAACATTACTCTTACCTTAATGACATTTGCCAGTGAGCTGATTAGCTAGTAGCTAGCGTCTGCTTTCAAGTCCGTCGATATGGCCCCTATGACAAAGATAGACATTCGTTTTTTCGCTTAGAACCAGAATAGATAGCAGTTTATGGTAGCCTATCTGGTGAAATAAACACTGCATGGGCCTGATACCAACTGATAACAATGTAATGTTCAGTGTGAAAACTGTAGAACAGTGTGCACCTAGTGACATCTGGTGGTCAGAGCAACAAACTGCATCATTGTCCTGTACTGAAAAACACGAAGTAGAAGAAACCCTCTGTCCGAAAGGGCCAGTGAGTTTTGCTGTATATTACAAAACTCACTGGAACAAACGAGTAAAATAGAAATAACCTTTGGAAAACGCAAATGTTTTGTCACAACATTCATTAATTTGTTTAAAACTCAATACAAAAATTAAGGATCACAATACATTTTTAGTTTGTAAGCTTCTTCTTTTTGCAACTGTGGCAAACAAAAAAAAAAGGCATCTATATTTTCAGTTCTTTATTATCACAAAATAGTCAAAATGATATACAGTTGCAACACTCTTGGAAAAATGTATATCATTTGCAAAGACTTTCCCAAAGTCATATATCTGGCCAATAAGATAAAATATAGCAAAGCGTAAAATAACCTTAAAATCTTAAATATCTGACCGGGATAAAAATAAATCTACATTTCAATCATTCGTCCTGTGCGCGTTTATTTACCCAACATATGCCAGACGTTTTGGCAAGATTTCTTCTGAAATGAAAATGATAACAGGGCAAATAAGTATTCACATTATTTGATTTTGCGCCCTCGTACTTTGAGTCTTGATTTGCACAAAAAAAACAAGTGGTTAACATCTGGTACTGAAATCATGTAGCGGTCAACCTAAATATTCAGGACAGAGGAAAACAAGACAGGCACAAACATACTTTGATTAATCAAAAACACATTCAAATAGCAGTCCAAATGCAATGTTGTGGAGTCATCAAAACGGGTATTCAGCAGAATTTAATCTGACTCCCTTATAGGTATCTTTCAAATGTTTCTCACGTGAAAAAGAGCCTTAGCAAAAAATGTTTTGCAGCACACAAACAAAGAAACATTTCTACTACTAAAGTTTCTGGAGTGAATTTTTATATTGATTGCTACTTTAATATAGACCTCTGAACAGTAACATGACTACTGACATCAAACAATTAAAAAGGCTGATAACTTAAATATTCGTGCTTTTACCAACTGTTTAATGGTCTTGTTCATGCTGAATGTTAAACAACATGGAAAAGGAAACCTGTTATTGATCCGTTCAAAAATGCCCACAAGTCACACAAAACATTTTCCTCTTAATCTTTGAGCTGATTTTTCTGATGTATAGTTTCAGTTTTCTTTGTTCAAAGACCACTCAACTTCCTGTTCCCACTGGGCCTACGTTTCTGTGCTGCAGTAGCATTATACTGCAAAAAAAAAAAGACATGTTACCACTAATATTTTTTGTCTTCAAGTCTTTGTGAAGTAACTGCGCTCTCGAAAAATAAATTTTGAAACAGGAATGATTATATAATTCTTGGATTGTTAGTAGAAACTGGTTGAATCATACTGAAGCTATCAGAAGCATATCAGCCTTCTATTTTTTTAGGAAATTAAATATTAAGGTCTGAATGCAAACAATATTCATAAACCAATTGCAAATGTTTCCTCATATTTTTGTTGCGCAACCAGAACCCAGAGGTTCAGATACATTGAGCTCTACCGTACCTTGCTAAAGTGTCCCCAAATGCTGGTTTCCCTAAAGGCATCGTGACTGTCGTTTATTGCACGCTCCCCTCCGAGACATGACGCACTGAGCTCAGAGGGTGGAGGAGACACATGGAGAAAGAGCAAGGGATGGGGACATGTGGAGAAAGAGCAAGGGATGGGGACATGTGGAGAAAGAGCAAGGGATGGGGACATGTGGAGAAAGGAAAGGCAGCAAAGAAGCTGGTTTGTGCATTCGTCTCTTTGTCTTTAAGAGGAACTGAATATGAGATTGAGCAGAATGTGCTTCTCCAGACAAAAACCATGTTTGAAAAAAGTATTCCTCTTCAATCTCCTCCTTTTTATGAAACACTGACAAAGACACATTGCCACAGTAAAAGAGATGGCAGCATTACTCTGAAGGAGAAAGTTCAATAAGGGACAGTCCTTTTTAACGCCACAGTGGGACAGTTTGTCTGTGATTCCCATAATGTTCAAGCTGCCAAATCATCCTTCCAAAGGTCAAATAAAAAAATGGTTCGCTCCACTGTGGCCCCGTCCGCAGCTTCACTTCACCAGTGAGCGGTCGACTGTTGGATCACATTTACAAAGTTGAAATGAAAAGTCAAGGCCACACTGGGACGTTATATCTCAACGTTATTTTCCACATGAGTTCAGTTTGAATAAACAGGCAGTAAACTGATCCAAGCCAACTGGGGAAAGCATCAGAGTTCAGAGTCAGGAGCAGAGGGCTTAATGGCCGCTGTGCGATGTGCAGTGTGTGGACAACCTGTTAGCTTCACTTCCTTTAGCTCCCGTTTCATTGAGGATTCCTCAAGGTCGGTGAGAGGGACAGTGGTGATGGCTTAGGAGACTATAGCTTCATGTTGCTGAAGTCCTTGGACACGCTCTGCAGGTACGCATCATGAATCGCACTGAGGAAGTCTGGGTCGCTCTACAAGGGAAAAAGGAGACGAGGGAGGAATTCAATTTAAGATTGACGGTGATAAACTGTTTGTATGTCTAAACTGTTTAAAAGGCTTTTAAAATAAAACATTAACAGCACAATCCCTTTTCAGAATCAGAATCCCTGTAACTCAGGATTATATCTCGTGATGTCGTCAATTGATTTCTTTGGAACCCTTTTTTCAGCAAAAAGTTGCTATTACATTTCTTAAAATACAATTTAAAATTCTACTGCAACTCAACAATATCACATCAGATTTACAGATCGCTCTAAAACTCAAATCGCCAATTTCAGACCAAAACGTTCCTGAAATAATTTGCATTTATTTTTATTTGTAAAACATTTTAAACTATTTAAAAAAAAACTTACTTCGTAATCAGGCTTAATAAATACCAAGAAATGTGCACTTTCATTTTTATTGTACTCTTTAGGAATATTTATGTAGCTGCCGCATGGTTTGTTTGTGTTTGACCAATCAGTAACTGTCTGTCCTGAAAGTTCCCAAACTATCAGAGATCTCATGCTCTGGGGCACAGAATGTTTTGCAACTATAGTCTTTCATTTGAAATAATAATGGTATGGTAATAGTAAACAGCTTAAGAGTTTTTTCCACTTCAATATGACGACAGTACCACTTTTTTACGTGTCGTATTCCCCTTTATGTATTATGTACCTTGATGAGGTGTATCAGAGTGTCCTGTAGCTGTGTTTTGCTGCAGGCTGCCTGTGGAGGCTCTAAAGCTCCTGAGGACGGGTAGGAGGGCTCGGAGGGGGCAGGGGGGGCTGCTGACGTCTGACTGAAGGACTGCTGGAAGGCGCTGGGGGAGAGAAGCAAAGAAAAGGCTGGCCCCGGAACAGCAAAACCAGGACTCATGGGGACAGCCTGAGAATGGAAACATAAAAGGACATAAGAACAGTATGCTTGATTATCAATTGTTGGAGTATATAATAACAGACAAGACACTGAGGTTAGCAAACGGATTCACAAAAACAGCTGTTAAGAATCTCGTTGAACTCACCGACATGGGTTTGATCAGGTTTGGAGGCGGAGAGAAGACATCCATCTCCTTGCTGTGCTGGAGGGACGGTCTCACCGCGGGCTCCTGGAAGCTGTGGGGGGTGAACAGCCTGTTTGGCAGGAAGTTGGGTGCCAGGATGGGTTTGTGGAGGTCATGATTCACAGAGGGCATTGCCACTTTGAGGGTGGCGAGCATGTCTTGTCCCAAATACGCCGTAGGAGGTGCTGATGGTGCAGCGTGAGGCTCTGGGCCGGCTGGAACCACCATGAGGGGGGACACTGAGCACCGCGGTTGGGGGTCCGACCTGGGGACCGCCGACTGGAAAACAGAGCCGGGCTGCAGTGCGTACGGAGCTGGGAGCAGGCCGGGGACCTGGTGCCGCTGACCTGACGCAGGGTCCTGGGATGAGTGATGGGGAGGAAAGAGCGGGGTCTGGAGGGCTGGAGTGGGGTAAGGCTGGTTCTGGAGGTAGGCAGTGGAGGGGTCACTGGAAGCAGTGCTGGAGTTCTGTGTGGGCATTATGGGTAGAGAGGGGCCCTTAGGGAGGGACGAGCCAAAGAGCTCCTCAACTGTGATCTGCTTCACCATCGTATGAGAGCTCTGGGGGGGAAAGAGAACACATCTGAGAGCGGTGGGGAGAAATAAACATACAGAGAAATGCTGAAACTCAGCAGGGGGGAACCTGCCACTTCCTTCTCTTTTTAAAACATCAAAATGAGTACTTTGACATAAAGCAATTTATTGATTAATTTAAATATAAATCATATGGGGAGGGAAAAAAGAGGCACTCAAATGGCTTAGGGGTAAGTTATATGTTTTCTAATAACAGCAGAGAAATTTAGATTTCTTCAGCTTAGGAGATTTCCGAGCTAGGAGATATATCCAAATAAGAGCCAGATATGTCTTAAATTATATATCCGTGATATTGAAATGTTCCAGTTTAGTGCAGTTTGAATGTAACAAGAGGAAGTGCTAAGCGTCTTTGTTGAATCCCTATGTATATATATATGTATATATATGAAAAAAAAGCTTTCTTTCTGCTCTGAAAAAAAGGGATATTTTCCAAACTCAATTGTTTTTTTAAAGTCCGGCACCCGAGAGGACAACATGCACCCTCTCTTTTTGTTATCCTCCAGATTCTCCGTATGTCGGGGCTCACAGGAAGACACACATTAATACACACCAGAGCTTTGCTTACATGTTGGTGTATTGTCTGTACCTTCTCAGCCTTCGGTGTGCTCTGCTCTGTGGCGGTGAAAGCTGTTTTCAGGTTGAGCTCTGCAGACGCATCGGTTTCACCCACCTGAGCCTGCATCACACACACATTTAGTTAGAATATTTTGTTTTCTTCAAGAAGAACAAGATAATAAATAGAATTAAATGGACACAGTCACACATTCAGACGTCATCCCGGGATTTTATTTGAAATAAAGAACCTGATAACATGTTTGTGTGTGTGTGTGTGTGTGTGTGTGTGTGTGTGTGTGTGTGTGTGTGTGTGTGTGTGTGTGTGTGTGTGTGTGTGTGAGATGATCTACTGGCATATCAAGGTCTCTTGAGAGATGGTAACTTAGCAACCTGAGTGTTTGCCTCCCTGTGGCATCTCCTGCTGCCGAGGGCAACCTGGATGGAGAGTTGTAAACAGGTGTGGTCTCTCCAAGTTCGTGTGTACTTGTTACACCTCAGACAGCAAGTTCACCAGGACTCAGAGAGGAAAATGACACAAGTAACCCATAATTATCAACATCTCTCTGAAGAATCCCTCCTCTCTTTGCTGGACTCGTGTCAAACTTCTGTCTTTATCACGCTCAACCTCTATCGCTACTTCTTCACACTACCCATTCATAGGGAGGAGTAGAACCATCTTGAAGTATTTTTTCTCGAGGGATCTATACAACAACAAACAGACCTTTACAGGAGCCTGTCACAGACAGATACCACATGCTGACCTACTGAAAAAAGGATCCTCAGTGAGTATGTTGCATTACTAATTAGCACTAATGGACTGAAAGAAACAAATAACTACACAAGAAGTCAAAACCAGAAGAGGACCCCATCAGTGGGAATATACTCAGAAGCGGCCAAGGAATATAGTCAAGCAACCAGCTGTATCGACCAGCAACTCAACCACTTCTAAGGAATTAAAATGCTGACAGCACTTGGACTCGAGTGAACCTCCCGGAGAAGCTGCTCTGGTCTGATTACTAACAGGACATCGCATCATGTCTTCCATTCCAGGCAGGCTGATGGGCAAACCGAGTCCAAAAGGGGAGCAGTCCACTTTGACGTTGACCCTGGCCATGTTATTTTTTCTCATAAGCAAACAAATGGGGAAAGAGTCTAACTCCTTATTTGTGGCGTTGATGAAGCTCCTGGTCAGACTGCTAATAGATTACCTCGGTGGCAGCGCTGTCAGCTACTTTCTCAAGATCTGAGGAATTTCATCCCTTTTATTTTCGCCTCATCCCTCAACAATTCTCAGAAGAATCTGTTTGCAGCAAAAAAAGACAACTTATAATTGAATGTAGTTCAAGAAGTAGTCAGTTTGATGATAAATCTTTTTGGTTTTTGCCTTAGTGCAGAATGATATTGACTTTAACCAAACGGCACTAAAAGTGTTGCCACCTGGTCGGCCTGAGTGAGGCCATGAGTGGAAAAATCTCTTTAGAAGAAGGTTTCTTGATAAACGTGACTCCAAGACGCCATTATGATTTCAAGCAAAAGGGAAAGGAGATGTTCCAGAAAACTTTGAGGAGTTGTTTCTTCAGCATCTTCAGAGGTAACATTATGTTGTTCCATACTTGTGCATGTATGATACTGAACCCCAGCTACACAGCTGTCTGCCGGTCAAGTGTGCAAAGAGTGGACATTTCATTGACAGAATCTTCTGTCATACGGCAGTTGTTCATAGTAGTGGAGCAAAAACAGATTCTGCACCTCAGAAGCAATTTTCCCAAAGGAATCCACAAGATTTTCACAATATTTTTAGGAAAATAAAAACGCACACCAGGGGTTGTAGTTTTGCCCTCTAAACAAAAAGAGTGCTGCTCACGGGAAGAAGTCGTCAAAGTAGCACACTGGCTTTTCATCGATCTTAATCTCCAATGGCTTTTCTGCCCTTGGGCCTTCTTCAATTTAAACATTTCACATGTTGCAGATTTGAAAATGCATCAGGCATTAGAATGGGGCTGAGGTTGACCTACATCTCTGCAAATTGGATTTGAATAATAATAATAATCTGGCATTACATCTCATTTCAGTCGGCCCTGACACCGAAATATATCTGTACTGTATACAGCAAACTGTTTACAGTATGATAATTTCCCTTCTACAAAATACTCACAGTTGCCATTCCTATAGAGCAGAAAGGGATCCTGCAGCTGGAACTCCAAGTCTTTGTTGATCGGCTCCACCAGGTTCTCTGTGCTCAGTCGGTTCATGATGGTGAAGCCATGGTGAGGCGTGGCAGACCTTAGAGACGCACAGGGATAGCAAACACTTTGAGATGATCTTCTCAGGCAGTACAACACACAGCACACAACAACCACCTCCATATTAACAGTGTGTTCACTCTACTTAGTAAAAGCTTCACAATCTGTTTTTCACTTAAAGACTTGAACAAACACTAGCAAACTATTTTGAAGTACTAAAAAAAAAATATTGAAAAGAACAGTAAACACATAGAAATGATTACACAACTATTACAAATGATGTACATTTTCTTCTAACTATTGAAACAAAAGCATGAATAGGGATAAAGAACAGTGACATACAGGTATTTTGGTATTTATTTATCAATCATTTAGTTTAATCTATAATAAAAGTAATGTGTTATTTTATATTAACATATTTTAAAACAACGTTACCATAAGTTACTAGAGCCAAGGATGATGCCTTAAGGATGTTTATTTTAATTGAACTAATTTAATAAGTAGGAACGAACGTCATGACATAGTATACATTTATGATTAAGTGAAATACAAAGATTAAACATTTCAAAACTATGGACATTTAAAATATAAGGGGCGGAGACAAAAATTGAGCAGCAGGTTGTAATGAGAAGAAAAAATGAAAAGGAAACGAGATGTTGTATATAATGAACATCTTTAAATGTTTGTTTACAGGCTGCGGCCTACACACGTGCGTACAATACGTCAACTGGCAGTGCAACGTAACTCTGAACAAGTAAACAACCTTCAAATAGAGCCTTAAATTATTAACATTACCAAACACTTCATATTCTCACCTTGCATAAACAAACAGGGTGCCTTCGATTTCGGTCTTCTCCTGAAATTATAAAAAGGGAAGTTAGGTGTGGAAAACAACAATCGCTAATCAAAAACTTGCTGAATAATAACAGAAACTGACTGTGGCTTCACTTGCCAACTTATGTTAGCTTATGTAACACCAACTTAGTAACGAAAACTCAATGTTAACAGACACAGAATACTAAAACACTATCCAGATATTTTGTGAACACATGTCAATAAGTCGAATCTGGACAAATACTAGCGTATTTCTTAGTGTTTCCCAATGTTTTTTTCTCAAGGAGCTAGCATTAGCATGCTAAATAATACTTAGCACACTTGTGAAGGTCTTCTACCAAACGTACCCATTCGTTGGCTTTGGAGTTGAAGTTGTAGAGAGCCACCTGTCCGGTAACATCCAGCAGTTTGTTTATGTACGGGTCCTGTCTCTGTAGAGCTGCTAAACTCATCATTTGTCCAGCGTTTACGGTCTCCATCTTTGATGTGATTGTTGCTCCCACACGGACGGGTTTCTGAAGACACACTCACAACTTCCGCTGCCCCCGGAAATCACTGCTCTCAAAAAGTTTCTGAGAGCCTTATTACTAAAGAAAAACATATTTATATTAAAAGTAGGCCTACATTGATTCTATTATTTTAGATTCCAGCAATAATGAACAATGTTTTTGCTAAATAATTCGCTGATTGCTTATGTTTGCGTCTGTCTGTGTGCGTGATTGTGTGTTCGTCGTCCGCGCGTTTGTGTGCGCGCGTTTGTGTTTAATTTAATTTGATGAGTCTAAATCAAATTAGATTAAACAAATAGCAACTAGCGCCGTAAATTCGTTTCTTCGCAAGACACATCTGCTGCACATAAAATAAGCCTAAAGTTGTGACACACATTTGACAATTACAATGATAAAGTGAAGCAAATTAATATAGGCTAGGCCCTATATTTTTAAGAATCAAAGGCCATGCACCTGTAGAAACAGTATTAACAGTGTATTCATGTTGTATAAACACCACATGGCTGCGCTGCAATGCTGAATATGTGAAGAGTGTGCACTAGAAATTAAATTGTAAAAACTAACTCACGGATTTGCTCATTGTAATTATTGGAAGGAAAACTTCTAAACTATTACACAAACTTAAAATAAAAAAACATCCAATTCTCGGCTCTGTCATCTGGTCCAGCTGCAGCCGCCTGCCTCACCTGCCCCTGTTGTGGGGACATTGGAGCAGGGATTATAATGGGAGGATTACTTGCTACCGTGAAACTGTTATCCCCACGCAGGCACAGGTAATCCACTCAGTGGTAACCTTCTAGCACAGCTCCTACAATTCATTTACTATCCAATTGCCGCGGAGTGAGGGCAGAAAACGACGCCATGAAGCCCATGAGAAGAGCCAGGTGACATGCCGTTCATTATAAGGGGAAGACCCCGGAGTGGTAAGTGAAAGGACCGGGTATAATGGACAGGATACGAGCATGGTGTTTATCTAGCTAGCCAGAAATTACCCTGACTGGGGAAAGTCAGAGTAATTTATATTAGGCTTCAATAACACTGATCTGAATGCTTTATTTTGCATTATCATTAGTGGGTTGCGGTGTGACTGCACAGCATTGGACTCTTAACAGAAATACAGATTATAAATATTAATCACATGTTCTTAAATCCTGCTTTTAGACGTTGTTTTTATACATGATTCGTATCAATTTTGGGTATACAACATGTTTTTAGACTTGGCCTAGTGACCTTAAATGCTGCAAAAAGTTATAGAAACGTGCACATAGACTTAATAAGTTAAATAATGATGTTCTTGTTCTGGTTGTTTGTTGTCATCTCGCCCGTTTTTATAGCCTAAAGATGGAATTCGTCTCCATTGGCATTGACATAAAATCCAATATAGCCTATTTGTTATTATTTTAATTATTTCAAACATTGCCTCTGAAATAATGTGGTAATCCTGCCAGACGTCAACATTGAGTTAAGATGTATTATGCGCGCCTTGTCATGGGCTGCAACAGGTGTAAACCCAGTTGGATGTGCTGCAGTGGATTGCTCTAACGTCTAACTTGTCCATCCCCCAGACTCAGTGAGTTATTGACAGACACAGTGGATGTGCTGCTGTCAGCGCGTCCCCTCCGATCCGCCGTGAATCTGCAGGCGGGCACCCGGATGTGGCGAAAATGTTTGGCGCTCCTCTCAGGATTTGCGCTCGGAAAACATTTTATAATTCAGAATAACGGTTCGTTTCAGGCTCGCGCGTCGACATCTTTGGATGTTATTCTTCCAACGATGAGTTGGATTTAAAACGCATTTTTTCAATGTGGATTCGAGGATGCAAGAAGCAGATGAACAGTCTGAAGGTAAAAAAAAAACCGTGCGTGGAGCGCAGGAGGAGAGTTGGAGCGCAACGAGAGAGTGGGCGCACTGCTTTATTCTCTGGATGTCTGTTTATTTTCAGATTATAATGAACCGAGTCGTGTCTGCGTCCAGGATTTTTACCCAACTTATTTTAGTGCACATATTGATTATTGACATTGTACGCGCTTGTTCTAGTCTGCGTGATTGTATGACATCAGTCATCAAATCCATGGGAAAACGAGTCGCTGCTAGTTCTCAGAAAAAATGGTTGACTGTGTTTGGTCTAATATTTTGGCCAAGTGGTCACTTTGGAACCATGTGACAGCATGTGGCGGGTGCTCTGGATTTGTGCACTTCACTATCAACTGAGTGACACTAAATCCACTTTTCAAGCCTAAATCCAGGTTTTAATCATCACGGTTTACGTGTTCCACACACTGTGTTTTTTTGTTTTAAATCAAGCCAACACAGGGGAAAGTCGAGAACAACAGCAGATTCAACAGTTGTTATCAGTAAAGTGTGGCAGATGTGAAGCCGAGCTGCCGATATTATTTTTGTTACATCCCAGAAATGTCAGAGAGGCTGTGATTATCATTAAATGAATGGCTTCGGATGCTGTGTTTGCACCTGTGGTGATGGTATGATGCGGAGTGGGGGAGTTAGGGTTAGGGAAATCCTCCTCATTCATGTTAGATGGGAATTGTGAATGAATGAATGAATCACTTGCATTCAGGTAGCAGGTCAATTATTAAAGATGTAATAGCTTTATATAATCAATAGTCTTTCAGTTGCTTCATATTTCTCTCTCTCAGTCGGTCTTCAGATCCCTGGTGCCTTTACAGTTCTGATGAATGGTCAGTGTGTTGGACTTGTTCCTGTAGCGTAGGAGCTGTTTTGGTTGGATGACACAACATTTTGTTTAGCTGGGATCATGCTGCTGTGGAACAGTGAACCAAAGGGACTGTGTCAAGGGCAATGTTTGTTTCACTCGTGGTCTGAATTGATTTTAATGACTCTCCCTGTCTCTCTCATTCAGGCTGTCCTGCTCTCTCCAACAAAAATATCGTCTGTCAACTTATTTCTAAATCTCATTTTCAGCATGATAAGTTTTGCAAAGCAAATAACCAATCAGTATAAAGGACACAATGAGTATTCAGTCACCTAAATAAAGCACTTCATATTTTCCACTTTGCATCAAGTGAATTCTGGCAATTATTTCCTTACACAAATGTAAAACTTGTATTTGGAATTGATATACACATCATTAATTAAATGCAGCAAGTGAGCACTTTGTAAAGAAAAAAAACAGATTCAACAATGTTTGTTTCTTTGCTTGTCTTTCCCCTTTGTTGTAAGAAGCACAATATGCTTATGAGTCATGAGACAATTAGTTGTGTGATGTATAGATATAGAGCATCTGCATCATATGTTCTACCAATGAATGGTATCAGTGCAGACTACAGGCTGATTGATGGTTTACCATGGATATCATCAGCACAATTGAGCTTATTGCAGATATTCTTTCGTAAAAATGTTTATAGTTATTCCAAAAATAGATTTTAGGAGATGCAGAGCCAGTGTCTCCGCAGGTGGTCCAGCATTTTGTGCCACTTGATAGAAAAAGGCCTTTATAAATATAAATGTGTAACGTCACTATTGAAACATATTCAAATATATTTTCAGCATTATACATCATTTAATATGTGGTACCTAAAATATATAATTTGGAGTTTTAAATGTTAAAGATGCTATCTGTAGAATGTGGTGCCCTTGGTGGTTGCATCACAATCAAAGCATAATCAGACAGCTACTGTATGTAAATGATTATTTCGGGAAATGGACTGAGGGCAACTTCAAGACTGTATTTACAGTACGATTGTTTAATTGTTCTGCAAAAAACTTGCTAATGCTATAAAAAGCTAGCTAGATTCCTGAAATCCACTGACAAATCATCAGCATGGTAACATGATGTGTTTTTGTTTATACTCACACCAACAGTTTTAACATATTAAACCAATTTGTATCTATATCACACCCTCTCGCTCCAGGGGCACAGTATGCCAGCAACAAAAGGACCACTCCCTCCGCTGATCCCTGGTCAGAGAACTACACCCATCTGCACCATCCACCTGAGCCCCTGCAGGCCCCGCCCAGCACGGGGAGGCCCGTCGGCTCCTGTTCTGGCCTCCTCGGCAGTCAGGACCCCGGTGGCCCTGCTACCGGGGTCAGCTCGGTCATCGCTTGGCATGCCGCTATTAGCGCTGCTCGCCAAGCGCAGGGCGATGATGAAAAGCCTGACATGAGGCCACGGCCCTCAGTTTGCACCACTGTACCAGCTCCTGCGGGTTCACTGGCGCAGAGGAAGAGGCAACAGTACGCCAAAAGCAAAAAGCAGGGAGGATCCACCAACAGCAGGCCGCCCCGAGCTCTGTTCTGCCTCACCCTCAACAACCCAATCCGCAGGGCCTGCATAAGCCTGGTTGAGTGGAAGTATCCTTTAACCCCAACACAGGGGCTCTGGTTCAAATAGATGGATGGTAGATGCTTGGGTGTCTGCATTGGTTATACTTGTTTGTACGGATAGATTGCTTCATACCCTCGTGAATAGGTGTTTGGGAGGTGAATCAATGAATGCATCTTTTAATTCACTTAATATGCCAGAAGAATAATCATCCAGAACTTTATAACTACAATGGAAACAATTAGCAACACTTGAATCGTGAAGTAGATTCGTTTAAGGGTTGCTGAGGTAATCAAAACACACACAAACACAGACATCTATCATTAGGGTATGATAGTAGGTCAAACCTTATACCATAATATGTTTAATTCCTATCTTTATTTGAGATAAATATGTTCCTTAACCGTTTCTTTTCTCAGACCATTTGATATATTTATACTGCTGTCTATTTTTGCCAACTGTGTGGCCTTAGCCATCTACATCCCCTTCCCTGGAGACGACTCCAACTCTACCAACCAAGAACTGGTGAGTGGCAATGAAAAAGGCTTGTGCGATGTAATGGATGAACTGTGGTTTTCCTAAGTATATTGTTCCTCCACCATTACACACGACTGCCAGTAAAGTCTGACAATGCAGATCTGTGGGATTTCAAGGGTGCGGTTATGGATCAGAAGTGACACGATGGCCAGAAAATGTGTGTTTTCTGTTCCCGTATAAGT